CATATGTGTGTGTATATCTGTATATATGCATATAAATGTGTATATGTATATGTATATGTATGCATATATGTGTGTGTATATACATATACATACATATTTTTAAGGCATAATAACATTGAGATTCCATGGAAAAAGAAAATTTAAAATACAATTTCAAGGAGAACAAAAAAATTGTAAAATTTCTGGTCAAAGAAGTATTTTTTGTTCATGTATTTTTTTAAATGGTAACAGGATCAAATTACTATATATTTCACCAGATATAATTAAAAGGGTGGTGTAACTTTTATACTCAAATGTCATACAAATATGCTAGAAATTAAATCCTTTGCAGCTATTTAAATGTAAAATAGATATCAGATATACTTAATTTTAGATATCTACTAAAGAAGTGAGGATATACCATTAAAAAACATTTTTAGAAATTAATACTCTAATAAATAAGTCCAAAAACAATGCTATATTGGAACATATGCTAATGGATCCATATAAAGTGTAAATAGAATGGAATTTCCGTCATGACTACTCAGTCTATCTCGATGAATTTAACCAATCTCAACAAATTCTCTAGCAACAATCTATAAACAATATGCTCATACTCTGGACTTTGTCAGACATTATGTAATGCATCATTAAATGATGCCTTTTACTTTTCTGTTCACTTTAAGCATATCTGTATTAGTCACCATTCACATATCCTTTTTTATTATCTCATTTCTGTTTTTCCCATTATGAAAAGGCTTTCTAATACTATTTTGATTCTCAGTGTTTCCAAGGAGTAATCCTCATGCATTGTAGAGCTGGCTGGAGGACAGATCTCTGAAATTACTATTTATGAGGCACAAGCCTTTTAACAGCTTCAAAGTTTCCTGGATTGATTTCGACAAATAAATACTTCATTAAAGATTTTTTTGTGATTCAGAATAGACATGGTGAAAAAAAGATCCTCTACTGTCATCACATACCTGCTTATAATTTTATGTATATATTTAAAATATATATTTATATATTATATATAAATTATATAATATATATTTATATATATTATATATAAATTATATAATATATATTTATATATTTTATATAATATATATTTATATATATTATATAATATATTATATATATATATATATTATATATATATATTATATATATTATATATATAATATATATTATATATATTATATATAAATTATATTATATATATTTATATATATTATATATAAATTATATTATATATAAATATATATTATATAATTTATATATTATATATAAATTATATAATTAAATAACATACATTATATATAAATATATTTAAAAATTTTTAAATTATTAAAAAATTAAAAAATATAAATATATTAAATATATATTAATATATATTTTATATTATATATACATTTATATATGTAACATAATATTAAATATATATTATACAATATATATTTATATATTTAAACAATGTATATTATATATAAATTGTATATTTATTTATATATTTTATATATAATTTATATATATGTAATTTATATTTATACAATGTATATTATCTATATATATAAATATATATATTTAAAATATATTTTAATATGAAATATATATTCTTATATAAAATCCAATTTCCCCTCAGTGGGAAATTATAAAAATATTCAAGTATATTTAGAATACTCAAACAGCTAAACAATTCTCATTTAAATACTATTTGATGGCAAATCGCAGATTATGTTATTTAATTTGTTATAGTAACATTAAATCACTGAATTACTTATGAAACTTTAAAACGCAATTATAAAGTCTTTCAATGCTATTCTTGATTGACAAATATTACAGAAATATTGAAAGTTGCAACAAACTTTTGTTCATTTAATCTAGATTGTGTTTCTTATCTAAAATCACTTTTTTAAAGCTTTATTGAGGTATAATTGATATAAAAATTTTTCATCAGTTTGGACCTATGCATGTATCTGTAATACCATTACCACAACCAAGGTGCTAACTATATCCATCACCTCCAAAAATTTCCTTGTGTTCTTTCCTGAGATTTTTGTTTTGTTTTTTGCTTATGTTCTGTTTCTGTCTTCATTTGGTTTGGGGAAGAACACAAATGCGATCTATACCCTCAACATATTTTGAACTATATAATACCATATTGGGTAGGTATATTGGTAACAATACCAATATTGGGTAGGTAACAATACCATATTGTTAACTATAGGTAGGTACTATGTTGTACAGCAGTCTCTAGAACTTATTCATCTCGCATGACAGAAACTTTATACTCATTGAAAAATAATTTCCCATTTTCTTCTCCTCCAAACTCCTGATAATCACCATTCTATTCCTGCTTCCATAAGTTTAACTATTTTAGATATCTCATATAAGTGGAATCATGCAGTATTTGTCTTTCAGTAACTGTATATGTATATATATATATATATATATACACACACACACACACACACACACAACTGTATATTCAGTAACTGTGTATATATATATATATATATATATATATATATATATATATACGCAACCATATACACACACACACACACACACACACACATTTTCTTTATCCATTCATTTAGGCTGTTTCCATATCTTGGCTAGTACAAATAATGCTGCAATGAACATGGGAGTGCAGATATTTCTTTGATATCCTAATTTCAATTCTTTTGGCCATATACCCAGAAATGGGTTATCTAGATCATATGGTAGTTCTATTTTTAACTTTTTAAGGAACCATTTCCATACTGTTTCCATATTATTTTCAACAGTGGCTGCACTATTCTCCATTCCCACCAACAGTGTATAAGGGTTCCAGTTTCTCCACATCCTCACCAACACTTGTTATCCTTTGTTGTTTTGACCATAGCCAACCTAATATGAAGCTAAATTCACTTTTGAGTTAAATGTTAAATGGACTAAATGATTGTGTTAGGCCATTCTTCTATGGCTATAAAGAAACACCTGTGACTGGGTAATTTATAAAGAAAAGAGGTTTAATTGGCTCACAGTTCTACAGGCTTTTCAGGAAACATGGTGCTAGCATCTGCTTGGCTTCTGCTGAGTCCCAGGGAGTTTTCAATCATGGCAGAAGGTGAAGGGGGAACAGGCAGGTCACACAGTAAAAGTAGCAGCAACAAGTGGAGTGGGAGGGTGCCACACACTTTTAAACAACCAGATCCCATGTGAACTCAGAGCATGAGTTCATTTATCAGCAAGGGGATGGCCTAAGCCATTCATAAGGGATACACCCCCATGATCCAAACACCTCCCACCAGATCCCACCTCCAACATTATGGATTACATCTCAACATGAGATTTGGGTGGGGACAAATATCCTAACTGTATCAATGATGATGAATAAAAAGCAATGAAAAATTTAGAAAGAAATTCAAGTAATAACACACAACTATATGTCTGTTGATGATGCTTGATGAACATGCTTAGGAAATTTTTCTCTCCTTAAACTTGGCTGAGACACACAATTTGAGGATCAACTTTGGTGCCAATCCTTCCCTTCACACCTCCATAGGTTTCTTGGATCACCTCCACCAAAACAATAAAACTAAAATATGGCCAAGAAACCAGTCTCCAAGAGCATTATCTTTTAATGGCTGATTTGGAGTGAGGAAATATACTGAGAATGAAATGCAAAAACAAGAATTTTTTTTTCAGATGGAAAAAGGAGTGATAGAAACACAATGAGCAAAAGAAATTTAAAATTAATCACTGACTAAATTCACTTTCACATCTAATGTAGACTCTCCCTACTTTCCTCTATTGCCCCATATTTTGAAAACTGAAAATTTCTTCATAAATAAAGGATTCATTGGCTGTAGGATAACTGGAATTGCAAATGGGTCCAAAACAGCTGTAAATTGAAGTAGTATTGAGTAACCAGAAACAACTTTGATTTTTATGTTTACCCCCCAAATCTGAACTTTATTAAAACAGAAATGCTTTTTAAAATAAACATGTATTCTTTATAGAAAATAACCATATGAACTGTTCAATATTTAAGATGTACATAGATATATAATTAAGGATATATTTTTAAATCCAAATTACTATTAGTAATCTACTCTGAGCTAGGTAATTTATGTATATTGTCTTAAATTTATAGCCCTCTGAATTATAACATTTTCCGTATTTTCATTACTTCAAAATCATTACTTAGGATGCTTTCACAGTCATTCATGACATATGCAGAGCCAGTAAAACAGGAGATGATCTGCCTTCCTTTTTCTGCTCTCATACTGTAAACAAGTGTCCTTTTCACATTCTGTTTAGTGCCATGTTCTTAATGTAATTTGTGCCTGAGTGAAGCTTATGTAATGCATGCATTTTCTCTTTAAATCACATCACAGCCTTTTTGCACTTAGGAACACTACACAGCACTTCAGTGCTACAAATGGGGGCCATTTTAAACAGTGAAGTCATCAACAAAGAAAGCACAGAAATGCAAAAAAAAAAAAAATGGTACCATATAGACTGTAAAAAAGGACAACTGTTTACAAGCATGAAAGCTGAAACAAGAAGTGGGAGCAGTGACCTCGGCTCTAAGGGCAATGGCTCAGCATTTGCTAATTCAGTGTCCAGAGTGACTTTTTAACTATCATGAAAAATGAGAACCAACAGTAATTTCAATAACTGTAGAGTCTCTTAAAAGGCTACAGAGTTGAAACATCAGTCACAGAGAAAAGTTTAACTGATAGAGGTGATACAAGCAGTATTATGACTAGTCAGAGTTATTATACTATTTTGTTATTAGATAAAGAGCTACATTTCTTATGTGACATAATATTTCTAGTGAGAAGACAGAAAAATGTGAGTAGGCTCTACTTATTACTTCTTATATCATTCTGGATCAAATCAATATGTGGCCAGTATTTTCAAATAAATGAGAGAAGCTCGTTTTAAGAAGTAACTCATTAGAATAAGCATTTAAAAAATCAGATATGCTCATCAGTAACCATCTCAAATAATTAGATTTTTCTTACTTATAACCAAGCTGACGACAGATCACAGCTGCATCCTTATCAGTCCATCCATCATCACAGATTGTTCCCCACTGGCCATTGATAAAAACCTCTACTCGTCCTTCTTTCTTATTTTCTCCATCCATCAGTCTGACAGGAAAACCTAAGTCATGATTCAAAAGTATTAGAAAAGCCCAAACAAGCAAACTGATGCTAACGTATGAGCGACTCTACAAAACACAATTGTTCTTTTAAATCAGCTATAAAATAAGATGGGGAATACTTTTTTGAGGGAGAGGAGATACATCAATAAAAATTTTATCCACTTTCGTAATGTCTCTTGCAGCCTTGAGTTCAAAGTGCTCACCTTCCTCAACTTTGTATCCCCAGAATGTGGAACAGTGCTTGGCATATAGAGGATATGCAATTGCTGTTTGCTGAATGAATGAATAGCATTATGAAACTGTGAATCATTTTTATTAAAGCTTACTTCTAAATAGTAAAAGAACATTAACTTGAGATTGGTTTTGCTTCACTTATCCATGAACACAGCTAGAAGTTTATACTCCAAAGCCAAGATTTTTAGAAAGATATAAACAGATGCAACCTTGGCATTCATAGTTGGGTAACTTGATACAAGTCTAATGCTGGAGGAAGCAAAAAAGAAAAAAAGAGGAGTAAATAGGGACAATTTCCATCTAAAGCTTTCTATTTACTATTGATTCAAGGGAAGGAATTAAGTCACCAAAATTACTGACTTAAAAGTCGAGAAACTGAACTCTAGCAAATGAGGTTTATGTAAGTTAATACAAATGAAGTGCTTCATAAACTATGACATATAACCACACCAATAAGTATGATGTTGAACTGAAACTCCTCACTGTGACTTGCATGAGTTGAATTGTGAGGTCATTATCATGGGTCCTAATCAAATATGCTGGTGTTCCTATAAAATAAAGAAATTTGGACATGAAGAAGGAAGATGATGTGAAGAGACACAGGGAGAGGACTGCCATATACAAGCTAAGGAGAGAGGCCTGGGGCACATCTCTCTCACAGCCCTTCCCTCACAGTTCTTTCTGAAGGACCCAACCCTGCTGACATTCGATTTTGGACTCCTAGCCCCTGGAACTGTGAAACAATAAATACCTGTGTTTAAGCCACCTCTGTGGAACTTTGTTACAGCAACCCAAGCAAGGTAACACTCACACGTTTGATTACCTAGTATCTAGAAGGGTCTCCAGCTTCAGGACCAAGATTTATTGGTAGGGATTTAGGGAATACAGTAAAGCATGGTAAAATTATCAGGAGAACTAAGGAGGTAGAAGTTTGCAGGTAATGGACAATGTATCATTTAATATATGTTTAAATCAACATGTGAAGTTACTAAATCAACATTTGTTAACTTAAAGACTGTTAGCAAGATGGACATGTTCTATTTTTATTCCTCTGACCCATTTTTTACTTCTCCTTCCTTCTGTGTTGTCCCAAGAGTTGCTGGCTCCCCATTCTCTATCCCTGATCATGTTCACTTCATGGGACAGGGAGTACATCAGAATCACAGAGCAAAATCAAACTCAACAAATGTGTATGGAGTGCCAACTCTATGTATGCACTGCTTCCTATTAGCTGAATAAAAACTTGGAGTTTTAGCTATAACACAATATTGAAACTTCATAATTCTTATTAATATATCTGAAATTTGGGGGTTCTTTGTAAGAAGAGAAAGTGAAAAAGTGATCCTCAGATGCCAAAATCAAACCAATGAAGTTCTTTTCGTAAGGTTTTCATTTTTTATATTTTTGGATATTTGGTTCAAAATTAAGAAAACATTTGTACATGAAATTAGATCTACATGTTCCATTCCAGTAGTTTTACAGGTAGTTTTTAATGTACTCTAAAAATAAAAATGATAAGGTATTTTTAAAGTCTAACTTACATGCTTTGCAAAAATAATGCATATAATATTTCTGAACTTAATTTTAGCCGTTCATTCTACAAAATTATTGAATTCTTAATTCTTGAAGGGAAATTGGATGACAAAAGTCATTCTATCCATACACCATCACTATTAAGTTCGTGTTGCTATAGAAACAATAATACATAACATGTTTTATTTCTAAAATCTTAAATATTGTTTTTGAGAAAATGAAACAATCCTATAGGTATACAGTTATCTTTAATTATATATCTCAAGCTGACTTTCAGTAGTTCTCTTTAATTTTTCTTGTAACATATTATTTTTAGAAAATAATACTGTCTTTTAGAAAAAAGATAAATTCTAGCATGCATACATATACATTAAAAGCCTAATTTTAGGCCAGACCTGGTGGCTCATGCCTGTAATCTCAGCCCTTTGGGAGGCCAAGGTGGGCAGATCACCTAAGGTTGGGAGTTTGAGACCAGCCTGACCAACATGGCGAAACCCTGTCTCTACTAAAAATACAAAAGTTAGCCGGGTGTGGTGGTGGGCAACTGTGGTCCCAGCTACTCAGGAGGCTGAGGCAGGGAGAATCACTCGAACCCAGGAGGCGGAAGTTGCAGTGAGCCAAGATTGTGCCATTGTACTCCAGCCTGGGCAACAGAGAGAGACTCTGTCTCAAAAATAAATAAATAGTAGTTTTTAAAATACTATTTTTTAAATTTTTATTTTTTAAAAATAAAAAAATAGTAGTTTTTAATAGATCATTTAATAAATGTTCTATGAATGAACAAACAGAAATATGATTCTATCCCAAAAGAACATTTGGCTCAGACGTAATGTTCTTCAGACAAGTGACTTTGGTGAATAGATACATTACTGAGATTAGAACCAAGGAGATTCATAATAATGACCATATGTTTTATTAATGATTATCATCCTTGGGTTTTTAAATTTTTTTAAAAAAACACACACACATCTAGAGTCCTAGAATTAAAAATACTTTCAAGGGAACTGAAAAGATTCGTTATTCCAACCATATGATGTATTTAACAACATAGGCCTACAGAGAGCTCAGATTGCAGAGTATTTCGTCACTGGAAGATGGTAGAGCATATGTGCATAGATCACCCCATGATTCCAATACCTGCTATTTGGGGCTGAGATGATCCACTTCCAGCAAACAAGTTCTATCTCCCCCAACCACATGCAATCATCCATCACATAATCTTGGGAGAATCACAAATATTTCATAAGAATAAGGGGCACAGGAAAAAGATAACAAAATAAAAGGAAAGAAAAATGGAAATTTGTCCTGCAAGGGATGGAGTAAAAACATATACTTCTACTTGGTATAATGCTAGATTAATGCAGTATCACCAAGATCTCACGGTGTAGAGTACCAATGGAAGAATCAGCCACAGACTTTGACAAATCTAAAGTATACAATATGGTTAATACTGAGACTCAAAAAGTTTTGTTATTTTTTAACATGAAGATTTCAGCTTCACAGTCTCAAAACAGGAGAATACAAAAGAGTTGATTCAATCCAAGGTTACAAGTAAAGATTATCTATGGCTATTTTAACATCTATTCATGTACATATACACACACAGAGAGAAAGACATATAAAAAGCTGTGATAGCACACTACAAAGTATTTTTAATATTTCCCTCTGTATTTTTCATTCATATATATTCTGCCCTCCTCACCAGACATTAAGAAACTTGTCCAGAATGTTTAACTGTTCTCTACTCTCAAGAAGATCTTTATCCATAATTATTTCAAGACTGTTAGAGGAGCTACTTACCTTTTATCCAACAACAAGTCTAAAAAATGTAAATGAAGAGTAACAGAGGTCCTGGTGGGTTTCTAAAATAATAAGTCATGTTAGAAAGATGTGTGAGCTATTAAGGAATCTACTTAGAAGACTATTGAGAAACTTAAAAGAACAATGGATGGCTGGTGATCAACAAATGACAAGGCTTCACGACTAGAGAAGAAATGAACCATGAGACAGGGAAAGGAGAATAGTCTTTTTTAAATCCTGTCCCAAATAGCTCACTTGAATTCAAGGTAAATGAAAATCAGAATAAGTGACCAAGGAGTAAGGGGAATAGATACTGCAGTTTCTTTATTCCATTGTTCAGATACAGATGATTATAAACATTTTTAGTGAGAAACTTAATTTTCTAAGTGAAGAAAAAAAATTTAGGGGTAGAAATTTCATAGTGTTGGTGCAGAGACTCCAAAGATTACTTTTTTTCTACATAAAAATTACTGAAAATTAGACAGTTATGGGAAATGGACCAAAAAAAAAAAAAAAGCCAAAGATGAGAAACATTTCACATTCTAGGCCAGTGGTTAGAGGTGCAATGGCTATTGAATTATGACAGCTGCAGCCAGTCCTCACCCAGAGAAAGCCTGTGTCCCTCGCTGCCAGGGTAGCAAGCAATGCCAACATCTTCCCGGTGGCTGCAGTCATGCCTTCCCCACTGTCGCCTGGAACACTGAAGAAATCTGGTTTCCTTTCCTGAGCAGCTGACATCATCCAACCATATGGGCCCTGCGCTTTCTTCAAAATGGTTGGCAGACGCTTGTTTACCATATCTGTGACAATTAAATAAACACTATGTGTAGAACTGCTGTCTCTTGGTTCAGGGAACCACGAAACATTTAACACAAGTAACCTAATTCAGTGTCATGACTTAGAGGATAAGTATCTGTTATTTCTCCTACCTTGGGGGCTCAGTTTTAAGAGCTATGTTCGCTCGATCACATTTTAATCACCTTAAAAATGTTTGATTATTTCAGTGAATAACAAATGGAAAAATTAATCCATTTTCCCCATTTATTCTTGCGTTTTGTCTACAATTTATCTCACCAGAGAGAATGCAGAGATCAACCTCAAATCTCTGACCACAGAAACTGTGCAGAAGGTGAGAACATCTGTCTCATTTTGTTTCTGATGTACCCTCTGAACTCATTTGATTTCAGCAGCTTCTCTAGGCCACTTTGGTTTTCTCTCTTTCAAAATGAAAAGGGTGAATTAGTTCTGTGATTGCTGAAGCACTATATCTAATCCATGACTACATTTAGATTTCAGCCCATCAAAATCAGAATTACGATGTTCTTAGCTTTTCATAAGGTATGAAAATTCAAATTTCAGAATTTTTATCAATTATATTTGCATTCCAATTGAGTTTATTTGTAACACTGCACTACAGAAAAAAACCTAAATGTATAATAAATATACATTTATTTATATAATAGAATAGGAAAGATCTGAAAAAATTTTAAATTAGAAATTAAGTCAATCTGCGCCTTCTTTCATTCTCCCAATTTTATTTCCTTTTGTTCCATAAAATTCAAACCTCCGCAACTGTCTTGCATGCTCTGCTCATGTACCCCAAAACCTAAAATCCAATAAAAAATTTAAAAAAATAAAAATAAAAAATTTAAAAAAATAAAAATAAAAAAATTCAAACCTCCAGAAACCACTAAACTTAAACATCTTTAAGATGTCTTTCAGTTCTAACAGTCTATAAAATCCAACTCTTATTCGTAATAATTCCCTTACTTGATGTTTTTATTATTTCTGTACTAAGAATATGAAGAGATCTATCTGGCATGAATTTTCTTCATTTTTTTCTATGTAAGTATTTCTTAAATTTATTTGATGAGATGAACATTTTAATAAATTAAAACAATGAAATAATCATTCTATGTTTTTTCCCTTTTATTTTGCTGACTAATTAATGAAGCCTCAGCTAGAAAAGTAATAAGCCTAAATTGCATATTGCTCATTTTTAATTTATAAATCATTTTTTTTTAAAAAATGCTTCATATTATCATCTGTCCATAGCAACTACATAACAAATAACAGGAAATCATTTTACTTTGGAATTGCAATTGTACAAAGAAACCCAAAGTTTACCTTTTCTCATTACAAAAGAACATTCTTTTTCAAAAATTCCTTTGTAAACTCAAATGTAACACATGCTTTTAGTACCTTCTAACACAATCATTTAGAGCTTTTTACACACCTTATTTTAGAACATTTTTATTTGCTTACAAATCTATGATTACTCTGTGCATAGAGTTGTAAACAAATAAAATGTTTTTAAAAATCAGTGTCAATTGTTTTCATTAATAAGGAAAAAATGTGAAAAATAAAAATAACAGGATTTACAAGTCTCTCTAAATATGAAAATAGAAATAATATGATTTTATGAATCTCTCTAAATCTGTGAAAACAGTATAGTTGGTAGTCGAACAGAGATTCACTTAAATATAAAGTGATATTTATTAAGCAATTCTTGTTAACTGTCAGTATATTGTATTTATTTGGCTGTTATATCATACCCTTTTTCCCAATAATTACTATAACTTCTCTGCCCAAGAAAAGTCAAAATAGGTGGCAATTATATGAATATTGTAGCTTCATGATAGCATTACTTATCATAGGAAAAAGTAAGCTAACCTACTACTAAGTAAATTACAGTATGAAAATTTGATTAATATTATTATCACTAAAAATTGTGACTATGCAGCAATATAAGGTTAAAAACATGGATAAAAAATTACATGTCCATTACTAGAGCTGATATGAAGTGATGTACACAAATTATTATAATAGCATATGGATGAAAAATTATGGAGTTTTTTATTTTCATCATTTTCCAATGGTTTTACGTTATTTTATAAATTTAAAAATATATGTTTAACATGGCTTTACCTAGCTTGAATGAAGGTATGTTTTTAAAGTGTAGTGAATATCTGCAATCAGCTCTAATCAAACTGAATTGAAATAATTCTACCAGTTTTTTAAAGCATGAGATAATCACTTCAAGCCTGACATAGAAATATGGAAAACAAGAGAGAATGGGCATTCATAGCTTTCATTCAAATATTTAACTCAAAGGCATCATTTGTAGTTACTTCGACCAACTTAAGCCTTTACTCTGGAATGCATTATGTGTGTACCATAAAATATATGTTCCAAAGTGTGATACTCAGCTTTTAAGAGAGTGAGGTCAAAGGCGAGTTCTAAAGGCCATCTCATAACAAGAGGGCTGTTTTTCTCAAAGAAAAGTGATGTTATTATCATCACATTCTGAGAAAGGGAGTAATGAAATACTAAAGTACTTGACACTGGACTTCTCTGCAATTTTAGACAATGATGTCAAAACTAAAAACATCCAATAGTAATGACATGTCAGAATAAAAATGAGCAGTCAAAGTCTTACTTGAATAGACACAAGGGTACTTAGAAGTCACCCCTGGCCTCAACCAGTTATTCAAGAAGAGGGGTCACGGCAGGAAAGGTAAATGAAATAAACAGCAAGGGGTGGTTATTCATCATCTTAGAAAATGTCATTATTTTTCATTGATGTACTTACATATACAGGTAGGAGAGAACATGTATTTTTATTACCATAAAAATTACATGTATTTGTATTACTATAAAAAAAGTAGGGATTAACATAATAAGACTTTTAACGATATAATCTGGCATTTAACTGCCCTTTATATTAATGGATCTTACTTAAATCCCAACTGTCGACAAACCACATATGTATTCAGCTCAGTCCAGCCATCATCACAGACAGTCCCCCACTGGCCGCTGTAATACACCTCCAATCGACCCTCATGGCTGCCTTTCCCACCTGCAAGTCTGATGACCCCATCTGTGACAAGGAGGAGACACAGAAACAGAGACTAAGCAAGTCAACTTTCAAAAAAAGGCAAAACAACATTTTCATTTCACAAGAAATATCACCATATTTAGGCCTCCTCTAAGCCTTTTGTTAAATTTATATTATATCTGTGCGAAATGACCCAAGGTTATTGCATTGTTACTGAAGTTTGACATAACACATTTTCATCCTAATGAAATATTCTTTCCAGCCAGGCACAGTGGCTCATGCCTGTAATCCCAGCATTCTGGGAGGCCGAGATGGCTGGATCACCTGAAGTCAGGAGTTCAAGACCAGCCTGGCCAACATGGTGAAACCCCATCTCTACTAAAAATACAAAAATTAGCTGGGCATGGTGGTGCACACCTGTAATCCCAGCTACTTGGGAGGCTGAGGCGGGAGAATCTCTTGAGCCCAAGAAGCAGAGGTCACACCACTGCACTCCAGCCTGGACATCAGAGCAAGATTCATCTCAGAAAAATAAAATAAAATAAAATACACACATGCACACACACACACACATGTGTATTTATACACACACGCACACACACACATATATATATTCTTTCCTTTTTACTTGTATTCCTATTCTCTAAGTAGGAAAATATATCCTGATATAATTTTGAAGTATCTATTTAGATTTTTCTAGATTAAATAATATTTCAGATACTTCCTATAACTTTAGTCTTAAGTCAGAGCAATATATGGCATTTAAATTTAAAAAGTAAGAAAATATAGTAACTTGGAAATAGCTCAGAATTTTAACTGCAAATGAAAAATAAATATTGAAATAAGAAGACAGAAAAAACTATTCTGGATAAAGGACAGTCTGTCATGTTAATGTATCTATATTTGTTAGGTATTCATGAATTATAAAAACTAGAAGATATGTCTCGACTTTGTTCTTTTATTGATAATACAGATCTGAATTTGAATCTTATTAACTCAAATGATAATTAATTTGCCTACAATTCTACAAAGAGCTTCTAACCAAATAAATAGTATAATAAATGTAATTCCCCAAAAAAGTAGTTTTAAAAGCCATGTCCATCCAAAATAATCCAAAGATTCTCAATGAAACATATAAATAATCTTGGGTAAGGGTCACACTTTTGATGAATCTCAGGGATCTATTAAAGGTCTCTGAGCAACAAACCATTTATTAATATACTACTTTACTGACTGCAAAGCATCACGACATGTATTAACTCATCTGAGCGTAACAGCAATGTTATAAGACTGCCCTCCTTGAAGGAGGAAAAAATCGCAGTTCAAGAAAATGAAGTGCTCTGGCTTAAAATCTGGCATCAATGTATTTCTATTGTGTATTAATGTGTGAATCTGCTAATGAAAACAACTCCATGTATAGAAGTATGTCAACAGAAAGATATAAAGTTGGTACTTCGTGGACTCTAAGAAGTTAAAGATTTTCATTAAAGAAATATGTAAACAAAACATTTTTTTAAAGTTCTTTTTACCAAATGGTTTCTGATGACTCAGCATTTCTGGCCTTGTCCATTTCCTTCTTCTCCCTAAACATGTAAGTACATACACACACACCAGTTTGTACTCATATATGCCCTTCTTGTAACAAACTATTCATTTTGACAAGCATGCTATCTTTGGAATAGTCTGAAAATTGTGCACAGTAAAGTTAACTTGGTTTATTTCACAGTGTGCTTTAATTAACAATTGCATTAATACCAGCTCTAAACACATTCTGAGTCAAGAAACATTAACAGATAAATGAACTAAAGAGGTAATTATTTCACCTAATATCTGAAATGTATCATTGCATACTGATTTTGACTACTGGGTATTATATATTGCAAAAAAGTCCTATTTTCTGATCCAGCTTTACAAGACTATGTAGCTTTAAATTGAAAAATTCAGGAGTAACTATGAATAAAAAGAAGGTATCTTAATGTACAGTTTGTGTTCTTTTTGTTTTATTTGGTGTATTTATTTGAAAGCTCATTTGGTAATGCTGTTGAAATTAAGGAGAAGGGAAGCTGACGCAAGCCCACATGGTACTGGGGGCAAGAACTGGTATATTAATGGAGTGAGGTCCTTACCTGTTAGAGGGGTACAGGACACTCCAGCATCTTCTTTATGGCCACAGTTATGCTCTCCCCAGGAACTCTTCAGACATTGCTCAATTGAAAGCTCATTCCCAGTACAGCGTACTTCATCCAACATAACTGGGCCAGATCCTTCCCCAAAATATGCTTGATGCCATGCTTTGGCAATGCCACTAGACAAACATAAGAACATAAGGATTCTGGATTAGACACCAAAGGTTGGTCCTTTATTTTTTTCCCCCCAAATAAAAGCAAAATTATTAATTCCTGCTTATTAATTCACTTCAGAGGTCATGCATGACTTTCTGTATTTCCTTTTTGTGTATTTGTTTGTTGTCCTTTACATTTCAGCAATTTCACATGTTTCAAAGACTGCAAGGTACTCCCCAATATTTAACCTCCTTTTCTTCATTTGTAACGGAACTTCAGATTTTTAGGACAATGGCTATCCAAAATAAAGACCACATTTTTGCTTCCCTCCTTCTTGACACCTAAGTTTTGTTTGTTTGTGGAAAAGTATACATAACATAAAATTTACCATTTTAAACGTTTTTAGTTTATAGTGATTAAGCACATTCACATCATTGCATATCATCACCATCCATCTCCAGAACTTTTTCATCATCCCCAAATAAAACTTTGCTCCCAATTTAGGCACCTAAGTTTTGTTTTTGTTTTTGTTTTGTTTGAGACATAGTCTCAATCTGTCGCCCAGGCTGGAGTGCAGCAGCATAATCATAGCTCCCTGCAATCTTTAACTTCTAGACTTAAGCAATCCTCTCACCACAGACTTTTGAGTTGCTCGGACTACAGGTATATGCCACCACACTTGACTAATTTTCTTTTTATTTTTTATTTTGAAGAGGTGGGGTTTCAGTATGTTGCCCAGGCTGGTCTTGAAATCCTGGCCTCAAGCCATCTTTCTACTTCAGCCTCCAAAAGTGCTGGCATTCCAGGTGTGAACCACTGCATCCAGCCATAAGTTTTGACCAGTGATATTTAGGTGGAAGTGCCATGCATCACTTGTAGGAAGTATCTTTGTTCCACTTCCTCTTCGTGACTGCAAGGATGTATAGAGCCTAGTAAGTTATCCTGGGTCATAGGGTCCCATACTAAGGATGACAGAAATGCAAGCAAGAGAGAGCTAGGGCCCTAGTGATTGAGGAACCACCAAACTACTCTAGTACTGGCTACCTCTAGTCTCTTTTCCTGAGAGTAAAATAAACTCAGCTCTTAACTTGTTTAAACTGGTGTTATTTTTAGCTCTTTGTTACTCACAGCCAAACCTATTTCCTTTTTGTTTTTGTTGTTTTGAAAAAGAGTCTCACTCTGTTGCCCCAGCTGGAGTACAGTGGCGTGATCATGGCTTAAGGCAGCCTTGACCTCCTGGGCTCAAGTGATCCTCCCACCTCAACCTCCTGAGTATCTGGGACTACAAGTACATACCACCATGCCCAGTGAATTTTTATTTTTTTGTAGAGGTGGGTTTTCACTATGTTGCCCAGCCTGGTCTTGAACTGCTGCACTCAAGCAATCCTCCCACCTCAACCTCCCAAAGTGATAGGATTACAAGTATGAGCCACCACATCTGGCAGCCAAGTCTATTTCTAACAAAAACATCTCTTTATTCAAGTGTATTTGTAGTAAATTTACTTCTCCCACAATTCAAAGTGATGGCATATTCTTAGAACCCCAGATTTAAGTGAAGATCACAAACCTGTCAAAATGATTAATAATTTCAGATACTGCATTTTCAGTCCTTTTTAAGCTTTTAATTTTTAAACTATAGCACTTAAATTTTTAGTTTGTTTTTCAATGACATTGCATCTATTCCCCCATTATTTTAGCTGCTCTTTTCTTATAGCATTATAACTTCAGGATTTACAACAAAAATATATTAAAGAAAAAAAGTTTGCTAAATGATTGTAATACCCCAGTAATGGTAAAGTCTTAGATATCAATTTTGTGGCTAAAAAGGAGCCTGACTAATTTTACTAGATACCATGGAAGTTTCTTTTAAATGAACATGTCTAAGAAAACAAAACATCTAAAAGCTAAAACCTATTTTAGTATCATTAGAGGGCTGGATGCAGTGGCTCATGCCTGTAATCCCAGCACTTTGGGAGGCCAAGGAGGGTGGACTGCTTGAGCTCAGGAGTTTGAGACCAGCCTGGGAAACAGGGCAAAACCCCATCTGTACAAAAACATACAAAAATTAGCCAGGCATGGTGGCACACACCTGTGATCCCAGCTACTTGGGAGGCCAAGGTGGGAGGATCACTGGAGCCCAGGAAGTCAAGGCTGCAATGAGCCATAATCATGCCACTGCACCCATGCCTGGGTGACAGAGTAAGATCCTGTCTCAAAATAATAATAATAACAACAACATCATTAGAGCAAATACTTAGGGAATGTTCTGTAATTGCCTGACTCACTTTTAGTTTAAAATTCAAAGGGTGTGCCAAGAGGAAGGATAAAGGAATATTACAGGAGGTATAGAGGAAGCTGAGGAAAAGAAGATGCTTAAGGAAGGTATTTTCATGGAGTTAACATTTTTAAAATTTAGAATCCTGACACCTGAATCACTATCTGATACTTATAACACAGCAGACTCTGAGCAATCTGCCCCAACAAAAATTAAAGACTAATATCTAGAACTAATAGGACAAATGTGAGGAAAACATTTGGAATTCTAACACAAATGATATTGGAGTCCTAACACAAAGGAATCCTAACACAAATGACAATATCAAAATGACAATTTTGTGAGTGAATTTGTTTGTTTTGCTAAGGGAAATGTAACGGCAGAACAAAAAGTCATGTCTACTCTGGAAAGAAGCAATAAATGCTCAATTAATAGGATTGTTCTAAATAACATTTACAGTTGTTTCAAAGTATGTCTATATGCCTACAGAAGAGTACACTAATCATGTATAAATATTTGTATATTAATGACTATGTCAAAAAACGTGTATTTTCCAAGCTCAATCTTTGAAGCGGGCAAGTACACGTGGACATAGACTCTGAGGTTCCAATTTGGGCTCTATCTTCAACAAGTTGGGCTACCTTGGGGAAGTTACTAAAACCTTCCAGGCCCAAGATGCAACAACTGAACACAGAGATGATAAGGGCTAACTTGCAGGAGTGTAGGAATTAAACAGATACAAAGTAAGAGCTCAATAAATGCTGGTTCCCTTCCCTCTTCTGGCACTGTTAAGGAATCCCCATATACCCCCGACAGTTGATAAATAATATATCTTTCACTGCTAAGCAATTTATCTAAAAATCATTTGGTATTTAGTTTAAACAAACATTATAGTTTTTACTTTCCTTCATCCCCAAAAAGTAAAGTTGGGGAAATGGTGAGGAAGAAAGGATCAATCAATATTTTAACATTTTCTGGTTTTAATGTTGTTTAGTTAATTAATTAATTTATTTTAAAGTACATTTCAAAGGAATATTTATGGAAGTAATTTATGGCCTATAAGAGACTGAACAAATGCATGTCTGTGCTATTTTGTATTACAGATTACAAGATGATGGCCCAGAAGACTATCAGGTAAGCTCTGACTTGCATCACTGAACTTCAGATTTTCTTGTGGTAGAGCTACATCTAATCAGGGGCAAACATTTTCAAATATTTTAATGCACATAAAGTATTTTATGTAAAAAGTTTGTTGTTCCAAAATGAAAGCACTGATATTCCTAAAAAAAATATGTTTTAAACCAAAATGATCTTGCAATAGTATTCTACAAGGCTATGAAAAAAATTCAACTGTTTTAAAGATTACTTATAGTAGAAAATATATCCTCTCCCAAAGAAAATACGTTTATATAACATTTACAATAGGCCAGGTGCCATGGCCCACACCTGTAATCCCAGAACTTTGGGAGGCCGAGGCAGCTGGATCACCTGAGGTCAGGAGTTCGAGACCAGCTTGGCCAATGTGGTAAAACCCTGTCTCTACTAAAAATGCAAAACTTTGCTGGGCATGGTGGCATGCACCTGTAATCCTAACCATTTGAGAGGGTGAGGCAGGAGAATCACTCGAACCTGGGAGGTGGAGGTCACAGTGAGTGAGATGAGATTGCACCACTGCACTCCAGCCTACCTGGGCAACACAGTGAGACTCCATCTAAAAAAAAAATTACAATGCATTAAACAAGAGAAAACCTTAACACTCACAGAAAATAAAATTCCAAAATCATATAAAAGCTGTAATTCCCAGAATTTGAGGGTGGAAGATGAGTAACTGAAATGTATTGTTTTTAATATGTTTATGTATATACTAACGTTGGTTCAAAGAAAAAAACTGCTTGGAGTTGTGTGCCTGGGACCTGTGGCTCCTTTTCACAAGGAAGATAGAGGATAGGAGAGAAGAAGCCCTTGGTCACTCTAGAGGAGAGTTCAGCAAAATAAGACCTGTGCACCAAATCTAGCACGCTATCTGTTTTTATGTTGCTCATAAGCTGAGTGGTTTTCAAATTTTATAAATGCCAGGAAAAATAATCAAAACAAGAATATAATTTGTGATGTGCAAAATCAAGAGAGATTCAAATTTTACTGTCCAGAAACAAAGTTTTATTGGAACGATGCCACATGCCTTCCCAAGTTATTGTCTATGGCTGCTTTCATGCTACAGTGGCCCAGCTGAGTAGTTGCAAAGTCTATTTACTCTCTGGCTCTTTACAGAAAACATCTGCAGACCCCTGCTCTGGAGGAAAGAGATTAATGAAGGCAAATATGGAAACTGACTTAGAGAACCCTAAGAGTTTAAGGACAAAACAGGAGGAGACAGGATGACTGATGGAGAAGCCAGATAGGAAAGCTCTAGAGAAAGGCAGATTAACAGCCTTCTTGGATCTTTGCCCTGAGATAAATGCCACACACAAAAAAAAATCTGTTAAGGAAAATTTCAATGGGTATAATTCATTGAGCCAGAATTAGGTGCTATAAGGAAACCTGGGACCAATATGGAAGAGTATATAATTTGATCCCAAACTCATAACAAAAAGATGAAAGCCAGATGGCTTAAATATAGGAAAGAAAAAAGAAAAGAAAGAAAGAAGGTAGGGAGAAAGAAGCAAGAGAAATGAGGAAGAGAGAAGGAAGGAGAGAGGGAAGGAAAAAAGAAAAGAAAGAAAACTAAAAAGTTACTATACTTAATTATAG